GAGAGAAAATGGCAGTCAGCATTGCATTTAAATTTTTGAAGATTGTAGGTGTCAGAGAAGCAAGAATTCAGAAATTTATTCCAGAGGCGAGAGAAGAACAACTGACACACACTTTGTGTGGTTCTATTAGTTTGGACAACGCTACTCTGAGAATAAGATGAAGGCCTTTTGTTTCAAATCATACTGAAATTTTTGTTTGTTGAAATTAACAAACATTTATTATTAGTGAGCACAATCTAACAACATAGACACACAGATGATACTGTGTTTATGGTAAACATGGAGAAAGCTGTAGGAATTCTTAGTAAAGGAAAATGATAAGAAAGGGCTAAGCACAAATTATAACAGCCCAAGATATGAACTATGAATGAGAAAAGACAAAATCAAGCAATTAACTGGTTTAACTATCTGAAAAGTGTTATAATGACAGAAAATGTTACTGTTTAAAATGACGGAGCATTGGAATAGCAAAAGATGCCTTTCAAAAGCTAGACTAAGTATTCAGAGGCAGGAAAATTTAATTTGAGATTAAGTAATGACAAGACAAAAAACAAAACAAGGTCAGCACTGACCTGGTAAATCATATCAATCTCTATATAAAATTCTGTTACTTCTGCTCATTCGTTTGTCAAACCCTCTAAAATAGCCATACATTGATTGAACCCAAATTTTAGGAAGAAGTGCAAACAGGTAAGGGGGGGGGGCACAAAAAGTACATTTGGTTTTACTTGGGTGCATGAAAACAACAAAGTAGGGTTTTTGTCAAAGTATTTTTCCAAACAAATCAGCTTATTCAAATTTCATTGATTTGCGAAATTGAACAAAACATAGTTTGTAAATCCTGACAAAAAAATATTAGCGATAACTTCAACAATACTAAATACTAGGAGGATTTCAGCATATTGCAAAAAAAATTCTAGTCCTTTGATATGATAGTGAATGCTAGACAATTTCCTCACAGATGAAAGGAAAACTTGATGCAACAGATGTGGTTCTATATAAGGATGCTGAGAATACTATGTACTGAATATGGGAGCAACAAGGAAGTTCTGAGACACATAATGAAGAAAGAGGGCTTGGAGAATCTGACACTCACAGGACATATTGAGGGTAAGTGAGGCAGAGGGAAACAGTAATCTACATAACAAGCTTGTGCAAATAGACAGCAGAACAGAAACTGGGAGGGTTAGTAAGAGGGGAAAACATTGTTTAGAGTTACAAAGGGTAGGAAGTTGTAGAGAGCCTTTGCTTAGCTTAGCCTTTGCTCATGTTTGAAAATTCTCTCAATTTCTGGTTGTTCTAAGCTGTTTAGTATCATTTTGGACACTGTGATTTATTTGAGTGCATTATCTGGATTACAAAACACTTTATTACTCTACCTATAAAAAATTTATTATTTCAAGTCACACGTAATGTTACCTAGTTGTAGTTTATGCTTCAACATGGTATTAACATTTATTGAACCCATTATGGATTCTTTTTCTGCTCTGTTGCTCTCTCTCTCTGAAGAAATCCGAATAAAGTGACCTATACATATATTTGGCCATTAAGAAAACATCTGCAGCTTAATAAATATAAATTGTAAACTTTGTTTTCAGTTGATATTTAGACACTAATGTCGAATGGTCCACTTGTTGTTTTAAAAAAAAAAAGTGGAGATTGTATTTTTTTTTTTTTTTTTTTTTTTTTTTTGGAGGAATATTTTTTTTTTTATAGATTAGCATTTATTAGATTTGTTTCAAGCCATGACTTCTCAAAATAAAAAAAAAAAAATAGATTTTTTTTAATCATTTTAGAAGGGGTTCCTTTTCATGATGTAAATATGATTTCAAATTGATCCCTGACTTCATAAAGGGTTATCTGCATTTTTTTATTTTCTCATTTGATCACCAAAGTTAAGCAGCATTGAGCCCTGTCAGTACTTAAATGAGGGACAACTTGAGGATACTGGGTACTGTAAGAAGCCTCCTACAATCAGAAATACATTTTGGTTTTAAATAACACAGTTTGAAACTTGCTATTTGTAAATAAAAAGTACAGATAACTCTTCAAAAAGTGAGGGATCATTTTAATTCAGTTTTTATATTATGAACAAGACCCTGTTTCTAAATTGATTACAAAAAAAAAAAAAAAAATTTTTATTCTGACAAATGTGTCTTGAAAATTATCCTCTTCAATTTTTCCCTATTTTTTATGATGTCCCTCCGTAAAATGTTTAACCATTTCAATGACTAGTGTTCAGCCATTAACCAACTGCTAAATCTACTGCTGATACTCCTGGAATAATCCCTCATAAAGAAATCTCTTATTAAAATAGGAAGGTACACATGAACCATATTTGTATAATTAATGAAAAAAGAAAAGTAAATTGAGTCAGTGGATAATCTGAAAGCTGTAGGACAACTGGGCTCAGCATATCCCTATCCCTCTATCAAATGTTTAACCAGTGTGATGATTGGATCTTGTCTGGTAGAATTCTGTGGCTTTGAAAATACATTAAACTGCAAATAAAAAAAAAAAAAAAAACTACTGATACATTCATTTACCATATTTCACTATATTTTTTATGCATATGGGCATGTGGCTGAGGGGTTAGAACATTTGCATTCTGACAATGAGACCCAGGTTCGAATCTCACCATAGTCGATTTGTCAGGAAGGAGACTTTCTGATGTTACCAGACTGGAGAGGTCAATCCTAGTATGTGGCACCTTTGGAATGTGCCTGAAAACCATACTGTGGGTTGACCCAAGCCTTGTGAGTGAAATTGGGTAGACACAACCCTTTGGTGTCATCGTTAGCTGTGCTAGCATGAAGTCAAGTCATCATGACCAAGGGCTTGAACGTGCTGGCCTTGTTCAATTTGTTGATCACACTAGATAACATGCTCTTCCTCAGAAACTGTAACTAAGGTCTGCTCAGCATAGTTACAGTATAAACCACAGGTGAACTCTGTGGGTGTTGAATAAACACAAATGCACCTGAGGAAGTGTCTGCAATAGGGATTGGCTAGTCGCCCTAATAGACAGGTATCCTTGAATACGAGTAGCCAGCTATACATACATACTATGCAGAATTATTAATAGAAGAAAGGTAAAGTCTGTAACATAATAGTAGCGATGAGGGTGATAGTGTTAATTTGTGGGGGTGGGGAGACATAACTTGTAGGTAAGGCTAGTGATCAATTAACCTACATTTTATTTTTATTTGATGTATGAAAATAATGAAATGACAAATGTATGAGTATGCAGAGTACGTATGCAAGTGTGTACATAGGGTTTTGATAAGCATATGCACATGTGTGCTTTGTATAAATGACAAGAATAAGTAGATGCCCCCCCCTAACAAAAGCCTTAATTAAACAATCTAAACAAACTGAAATTTGGATTTCCTATCAAAATATTTTAAAGTCTTTTTGCCACAGCTGGCATCAATTTCTCAAATTAGTGTTTTGTTTCGTATATTGTTTTGTTTTGTGTATTGTTTTGTATTTTGTTTTTTGTATTGTTTTGCATTTTGTTTGTCTTGTTTTTTGTGTTTGTCTCGTCTTGTTTAATATCAGTTCTCCTATATGGTAGTAAATGCTGGACCATCTCCACACAGATGAAGAAGAAATTTGAGGGGATAGAAATGTCGTTCTACAGAAGGATGCTGAAAATACCATGCACTGATCATGTGAGCAACAATGAAGTTTTAGAGAAAATGGAAAAAAAGGACATACTTATCAGAAAGGGATGAAATTTCTAGGTTACATAATAAAGAGGGCTTGGAAAATTTGATACACTTAGGGCATACTGAAGGCAAGAAGAATAGAGGAAAGTAATGCATAACCCATCTAATGAGTTTGTGTAAGTGGATGGTAGAATAGGGTTTAGGAGCAATAACCAATGACAAAATTTATTAACATCTATAAAGGAGAGGAAATTATGGAGAACCATGATTGCCAACATCCTGAAGGGACATGGAACATAGAAGAATCAATCTGTATGAAATAAATTTTTTGAATTTGGTTTTAGGAATATTTTCTCTTTCTCTTGATATAAAATTTCTGAGACTTGTTCAGTAGGATTCATATGAAGGAAGAAACCATTTTTGCTGGTATAGAGTTCCATCATCCATAAAAATGCCAGTTTTTGTTCAAATAACTTGGTGAATATTAGGAGTTCCTCTTATAAAATGCAGGATGATTTAGTATTATTTTTATTTCTTCTGAAGAAGGAAATAGCGGTTTACCTTGTCAATCAAAACGCCTCCACGTTGCATGCTCTCTCTGTTGGGTAAGACGAACCCAGACAAGATCTGTGTTATAGACATGCCAATGCAATTTTTTTTCTTTTCATCTTATGGCCAATTGTGAGCATCATGATGATTCTATAAGCCATATTTTTTTTTCTACTACCAGTAGTGATAGCAGCTGGTGGGTGGATGGATTTTTATGAATGAATGCCTTCAGAACTTGTTTTTCCTCCACAATTCTCTAGAATGAACTGTACATTACACCATGACTGAAAACGCACTATGCCTTAGCAAGGCTTTTATATCTAGTCTGGTTCTTCTATGTATTTAGAGATTCTTGATAAAATCCAAAGAATCTGCAATGTTATTGGTCCTGACATGGCATCTCGGCTTCAGTCACTTCCTCATGACCAAAAAATAGCTTTCTTCTGCCTTATCTATAAAAATTTTCATGGTAATTGTTCTGATGTGCCTTCTTCTTTGGTATCTCGACTTTATGAATTTAAGCACAGTACTAGATTGGCAGTTAGGTCTCATCATTTCATAGATAAAATTACTAGATTTAACTGTAAGTTCTATTTCAATAGCTTCTTTCTTACTTCTCACTTGTGGAAGTCTCTTCCAGTTTCCAGCTTTCCACTCTGTTCTTCAAAAATTTAAATACAACATCAATCATTATCTTCTGTCTATTTAATTCCCCTTCTTTTATTGTTCGCTCTTCATAATAATGTTTTCCTTTTTCTCCTTGTTTATGATAACATCATGTTGAAACACAACTTCCTATATGATCACGAAAGTTAAGCAATGTCAAGCCTGGTCGGTACCTGGATGGGTGACCACTTGGAAATAGCAGGTACTGTAAGCTTGTATGCATGGGTGGTGCAATTGATAATGGCTCATAATTCCTCTTCTTTTATTGTTCGCTCTTCATATTTCTCGATTTAAATAACCTGCAAAGAGTTGATAAGCCATAGAAAACAAATCAATCTTTTTCTAATATTCTTTCACACTCGGTAACTACGACTTGCACCTATTGCTTTGCTTCGGGTGAAAGGATTAAAAAAAAAAAAGAAAGTATTATGCTGATACAGAAATTTTCAGCACCATCTTCTGCACAATATGAGAGAAATCTTAAAAGTGTCTTGCGAGTTTATACTATATTATGCAACCAACTTGTCAACGGTAGTATACTTTTTGAAAAAATTCAGAAGATAGGAAATTATGTCCCACATAAATTTACACTAGTGGACAACAGTCAGCATTTAAACACTTGATGCAAATAAGTCACTTGTTTGCCTCTTAGTGGCTTTATTGCCTTGTTTGGGGGGTGGGGGGGTTGAAATGATTTTTTTTTTTAAAAAAAGTAGTCTCCGGATTCATTCTTAACTGCTGTTTGAAAATTGCACAAATATGGATTCGGTGTTCCTATCTGGATTTCTGAGATCAGGAGTTTACATTATTTACATTTAGACTAATGTCCCCACTTTATTAACAATGAAGATGAGAACTTTAAATCCTTATTTACACACATACAAGTGTATCTGAACTCTAAGGGTCTAACCACTATTTCAACTGTTGTATTTGTAAATTGACTAATGATCAATGAGTATCATATTTTTATTAAATTTTGAATCTGTTTAAACCTATAACTGTCATGATTCTCCATCAAACTTACTAAAAGAAGTGTGCTATTTTATGTAATATTGATGGCAAACTCAAAGACAAGGACCAGACTAAATGTGACCAACCTCTAAGACCCCAACTGTGGAACAAGGAAAAGATGATTACAACAGATCTTAATGGTTGAACTAGCAAAACATGCTACAGAAGGCACCATTCGAAATTCAGAATCAATAGCAATCCATTGCAATTTTATAACTGGATTGTACATCTTTTATTCCATGTTCTGCAGAAGAAGGTCATGAAATCAAGTGTATGGATCAAAACAGATTCACACCATTGGCAATTTCTTTTACCTTCAACCATCTCTGCAAAGCCAAACAGAGATAGGGAATGGATAAGAGGAGCAGTTTTTGGTAAAACTGAATGTTTCTAGTCCTGAACCTGCATGTTGGTGGTGAATGTAGTCCTCAACATCATCTTCTTAAAGAAAGCAATCAGCAAAGAAGAAATGAAATTCTTGGATACAAGATAAAGCTGCTGCCAATCTATTAATAACAGTTTGTTAGTGTGCAGAAAATGACAAAAACTTGAGTAGAGAAGTAAAGTTCCCGTGTAACACTTCTCACTGGTCAGTCCTTGGTCAATGCTGCCGCTGGATGTTAAAGTTAGTCATTCCAATCTGTGCTCTGCTCCATCCTACAGTGTGTTGATTGATCACAGAGCTGGCAAAGATTAAATTGTTGTCAGCAATTGTAGTGTTGGCTTGATCTTGGCAAAGCTATGTCACAAAAGGGAAAAAAAAATGTTCTTGCAGACCAAATAAAGAAAAAACAGGAATTTCTTCAGGATCTATGTAGTTTTTATTATTCTTAGTACAGAAATATTAACCCTTCCCACTTTGCTAAATTGAGCAAAGTGTCACAATAAAATTCAGTTTGGAATAAATCTTAATTTGGAGGTTCTCCCTGGCAGCAAGTCACATGAGATTTGGCAGAGTAGTCGTTGCTTGTCTGCAAACCAGAACTTGTGTCAATGGAACTACTCACTTGGTCACTTCATTGTTTTGCTGATAATGACTTTCACCCAAAACTGGTATGGGCAGGGGTGGGGGCTTGATTTAGTTAGGGGAAACACTCGGTTCCCTATCTTCCAACAAGAGCCCTTTTATTGTTTGGCTCTGGAAAATTAATTATATCTCCAAATTTGGAGAGATCCCTTTTCCTATGGGCAGCAGTCACAGATATCAATCCACCCCAATAACTCCTTCCTTCTCTTATTCGTGCCTCGTACCAACACTTCCAAATGGGCAGAGGTAATTTCTCTTTCCTCCTCTCTTAGTATCTCATCTTTTCACTTCATTTGTCTCTTTAACAAATCTGTTTCTCAGACTGTGTGGCATGGGTTCGTTTCTAGTCATTAATTAGAATTTATCATTTTAATTTCTTGTCAGCAAATTTTCCCGTCTGATCTTGTTTATACAATCAGAAATTTACTAGCTGTTTCCTCTGGTCAGTTTGTTAAATAATAATTTAGCAAATTATTATTTTTTAAAGAATTTTATTCTGCTTTGACTTTATCATTTTGACCTTTGAGGTCAGATATGGGAAAACAAAGGAAGTCTATTGTGATTGGCTGAAGCTTGTGTGGGAATGTTAGATATAAAAAGGAATTTCAGTGAATTAAGTTTTACACATCGAAGAATGTAGACGTGTTATTTCATGTCTGGGAACTTGCTCCCCAGTCGGGGTGAAAGAGCAACCCCCACTGGCTAATTAGATGTACCTGTCAATATGGTGAATAAAAATAGTTAAGATTATAAATTCCTTTGTTGAAGTTCTCTTTTATCTCTGAACTAAAAAACAATTAGTGATCATCTGTCTGAGAGAAGAGAGGGAAGGTCCATCAATGTGAGTGAATCAATGCTGGCACCTCAAGACCACCACCTCCCCAACCAAGGGGCTATACAACAAGTTATCTCTCTATCTTGTTAAGCTCATTGCACTTTAAAAAATCTGGGTTGGGTTTTTATATAAAGAAATTCCATTTCCTCGACTTGTTTACAATTTTCACTTTTTGATAGGAAAAATAAATCAGTTTTTCAATTTTGCCTTGTCTCCAAAAATTACAAAATATTCTCTCTTCAACCTCTGGTTGATTCCTAGGAGCTGTTTTCGTAACTTCCACTTTAGGATAGTGTCATCAATCAACTGTCAACCCAGCTTTACCACGTGGCCTCTGCAGTAATATCTTTCCAACAAAGTTACTTCCTTCAAGCTGTCTCCGCTTAAACAAATAGACTTTTTAAAATTAAAAGAAATCTTGTTTCTTTCTCTGCCTGTCTATTTTTCCATTCTTTAACCTTTTTTGTCTTGTTCTAAGCTTATATTTTTAACTTTTTTCTTTCTGTTTGCCAGTGTCACAGCTGGGCAAACATAAAATTTGAAGACTTACCTATGTATCATGTTCAAAGGCAGTTGGCATATTAGAATCAAGCAAGTACCTCCAGAAATGTAACTATCCAGGAAATGTTATCACAGACAATGGAAAATGTGCCTCCAAAATATGAAGGCACATTGGGATAACAAATAATGCCTTCCAAATGCAAGAAAATTTAATTATAAACAAATAGAACTGAATTGCTATACAATATGAATGTTCCAAGATGGTAGTGAATGATGGACACTTTCTTCACAGATGAAGAGAAGTTTTGAGGCAACAAATGTGCTTCTGTGAATACCATGTACAATATCTTTGTGAAACATCCACAAAGCACGTAAGACGTATAATGCTTTGAGTTTAAAATATCCAATAATGCTGCAGAAAACCACCCTCACCACACAAAGCAAAAGTGGGATACCTCAGACATCAGTCCCTCATGTCTGAGGTAACCAAAAAACAAAGTACCAATGGAAGCTTGAATAATTTTTATTTACATTTGGACTGATGGCCTCATCTTTGTTATTACCACATTTCAGCCATTGCACCATCCAACCTTCTTCAGGTGTCTTTTGGTCTCGATAACCTTCAATGTAGTTTGAGTCAAACCCCCATAGATTAAATATAGGGTTGAGATCAAAATTTCCCAAAGATAACCTGGATTGACAGATATCTGAATAAAGCCAAGAGAACAAAGTGTCAAAACCTTGCAATAATAACAATGATGAGGATATTAGAATAAATCTGTATAACTCCTGATTCCAGAAATTCAGGCTGAATATTTGTTACCAATTCTATAGAAATATAAGAGTCACATCTTAAATATGGCCTTGTGTCATATTTCAGTTCCCTATCCATTCATGGTTGGGTTTTAATTAAAGATCAATGTGTTCAAATTTGATGCCTGAAGTGTCCCAAAAGAAAAGTGCCAAGGGTGGTTGAAGAATTTCTGTTATTGACCTCCATATACATGTGGGGCATTCCTGAAATACATATTCTGTTTGAATGGTTGTGCAGATAGATGCCATCTTTTTGCAATTTCCTGGTAAACTAATGTTTCTGTGAATTAGAAACTATCTTTTTGATAATATTCTTCCTGGAAAGAATTATTTGCTTGCTTCATCTTTCAAACCTTGTTTTTAGAATTAGACAAATTCTATTAAATTTAAATATCTTTTATCAAATTTGAATTCTTTTTATAATTTGACAAACTTAAATACTTTCTGAGAATAAGACAATTTCTCCAATCTCCTTTTTAAATTGGTCTCTCCTGACACTTTGAGTGGAACTTCAGTATCTACCCACAGCTTGAATAATGTTATCATGCTGTGTGGGTTTATAAGAAGTCAAGAGCATTGTACTTTTCAGATTTCAAAATTATAAGGAAATATATTTGGAGAATTTACTTTGTATGGTAAAAGAAATATTATACAGTGTTAGAAGTAATTATTTAACATATATTTTATATATATATATATATATATATATATATATATATATATATATATATATAAACAATTATTTTTTTTAAAATAATTCCATTGCTAATTAAGAGTTCTCATTTTTTCAAAAACAAAAAATCCTCAAGCGAATTTTGGAACCAAAATAAAAAAAATAATTATAATTTAGACACTACTTGTGTATTGAGCACTGTTTTTTTAAAAATAAAAACAAAAATACTAAAGAACTTTGGATTATTAATCTAGTGGTTCTTTCCTATTTTTCTATATTTTACACACACACACGTGTATGTATATATATATATATATATTATATAAAGATTTTCTTCTATGAAGGCTAACAT